TTGCGCCTATCAAAGGAGCAAGCGTCAACTGAGACAGCAATATCAGGGTACAGTTTCACTCTGTTTTACCACCTGCACCAGGTGCAGCCAAGTAAATTAATCAGGTTGCACAACCAAAATACTGGCTGCACCACTTTATCATAAATTGAAACACTGTATTTTCAGTTATTTTGAATATTAAATAAATTCAAAGAGAACATAAACTTGAGAATGTGCTGCAATATTTTAATTTTGGTAAATCTGTATATCGCTTTTCACATCATGATATCCAGTAAACAACCCCAAAAAGAAGTTTCAAAGTGTCTGTTTGACTGTAACCTCATTAGTGACTGTTCTAGTGGCTATTGTGAAGAGTTAGACCTGCTGAGTATTTCACTAATTTTATAAACTTTTGTTTCCCGGATTCAAAAAGATGTGCAGCCAGTTAAAAAAGAATCAGTTTTCCACATTTATCAAATACAACTGCTGCCGTTCACTTGTGGTGGAAATATTACCTTCACTGGGTATATCCTGGCAATATAAGTTACCTATACTAGCAGTGTTTTACCTGCACTGGTGCAGCTTGGATATAGCGAAATCGATCCCTGAATATGTTATGAATATGACACCGTATGCCAGAAGCAAGAATACGCTATTTCCGCCTGAGACACTACAGAACCATCTTTATTTCATGTTACCACACATTACAAGGGGATCAGAAGCTCACCTGCATTTTTCTATTCTAATTTTGACATAATTTTAATATATATTAACAAGCTGTTATATTCATGTTGTCCTATTCATGGCAGCACCTGTCGTACTGTTCACTACCCGCAGTGTAGACGTAAACCTAGAGTTGTGTCCATGGCCATGTTGTGGATGTGTTCACACTCATCTGCACCTCCAACGCAACAATTCAATCGCCATGACATATATCTCTGGCCAAGAAGACCAAAAACACAATGCTAAAAATTGTTAAAGTTTAATTGACACACTGCTGGTATAATTCATCCCGTGCTTGAAATACTTACCCATGCTTGCCCAAAAAGGCTACTATGCTCGTCTTAATTGCGTGGATCGATGCTCATGATGTCAATCACTGGATTGTGTGGTCCAGACTATTTACAGACCACCGCCGTCATATAGCTTGAACATTGCTGAGTGTGGCGTTAAACAACAACAAAAACAAAAACAAACAGACAAAACAAATCATATGCACCTACAACGTATCAATTCACTCGCCATGACATACATCAAAGGCCAAGAAGACTAAAAATAACAATACTGAAAAATATTCAAGTTTTATTGAACCACTGCTGATATAATTCATGCCGTGCTTGAGATACTTACTCCATATTAAAATTCAAGATAAACCATAAAAGGCTAAATAATCACATGAGTAATATTCAATTAGGCTGCGATGCAATATAATAAGCATATTTCAGTGACACTATTGCTTCTAATATAGTAGATGGGCTCATGGGACATGGATCTATAAAAGTGTACAATCACTCTAGGTGTGTATCATATCCTGAAAACACAGTTTATTACCATATTACAATCAAATATGGTTCTGATCATTTAGATGATGAAGCACTGCATTACCGATTACGGAATCTAATATCTACAAGTACGCTCAGATAATTCTTATCTAAATACGACGAAACTCATATATTATTCCAGGCATAGAAAGGTTGCCAAATATCAGTTTATTGATTATATTTGGTTTTTTAAATAACGGGATAGATAAAGCGGCAATTGAGTGTTTATGTAAGGACCATATGCGTTCCGTTGTTTAAGGTATATTTTACTGGCGCTTCTTTAAGTTTCCCCCTCGACCTCACCTGCTTAATTTTGCTGAGTAACACGTTCACATAACAGGCAGTCAGTCTCGATGCTGAACGAATGCAAATAATATAGACCATATTTGTTAAGTTCCATCGGCTATAATACCAAACAATATCAATAACTCGGTAAACAGAATCTCATTCTTCAGAAAATGGCAGATAATCTGCAAAAATCTGGGCACGGTATCCATGAAGACTGTTAAGCTTACACCGGTTTCAACTACCCAGGTATTAATATAAACAATATGTTACTGCATAAAACAGACAGTTAATGACGCCATACCCGGAGCGGGAAGACAAAACAATACGATTGTGAACTACAACATGTATATGTTATGCGTAATTTAAGAAAATTACTGTTACGTGTCGATTCCTAAATCGAAACAAAATGTTAAGCCAGAAATCTGTACGTAATAGAAATTAGTTTAAAACAAACAAACAAACAAACAACAAGTGGCATACAATCAACAAGTGTATTACAAAATTAACTAAGTTTACAAATCAACACAAATTACTGCACAGCAATTACAATGGCAGTACACAATAGAGTGGTAGTACAATATTCTATGGCAATACATAATAGGTGAAATTGGGTTTAACGTCGCGTCCAAGATTATTGCACTTATATAGCGACGTGCATGCACGTGTATGTGTGTGTGTGGCTGCTTGTACTAGTCCGGACTGATGCCGATTTATAGTGCTAGCTCACTGAGATACCATGCCGCAGTTTAACATGAATACCTCACTCAGACACAGTATACTGACTCCGAGCCGACCAGTCCTTGTTTTAGCCCCTTAATGCCGAGCGCCAGACAGGGTAACAACAAGTACAATCTTTTAACGTCTTTTTGTATGACGCGGCCCGGGATCGAACCCTGGACCTTCCGCTCTCCGGGCGGACGCTCTACCACAAGACCACGGAGGCGGTCCAATACATAATTAGATGGCAGTGGTCAGTATGAAATACAAAAACACAGTGGTGAGCAAACTTCAATGATAATAATACTTATTCTCCCAGCGGCGACAGCGGTCAAGCTTCAAAGATGGGCTAGGCAGGGAATCAGGGATGATGAGTGACCCTCACGTGAAAGCTGGTCTTGACGTGATGAGATGCGTGAGAGATGCGGGAGGCATGCTCTAGTCTCCTTATGTACAGTCTACCTAGATACTGGAAATTTCTGCACAGTGGCCTCACAACAACAAAATATTTCACGTGTTTCTATAACACACTATCACCGTTCGCGGTATTACGGACCGGAAGTTTACACATAGAAGCTTATTGACGACAGTCTACATTAAATAGTGCTACATTCCTGACGACTGATCACTGTCAAAACACAATGCAGTGAGCGTCAACCGAATCTGAAAACATACAATGTAACACACTGCCATATAACACTGACCAATCAGTTTTGCGTCAATCCCGTGAATGGGCGTCTCTCATTCGTGACCAACGCGTGTTGTTCCGGGACAACCCGAATAGCGACTCGTGCCCCTCTCGTGGCCATTTTTGCAACTGGGTTCCGTCTTAGCGCAAACGGGCATAGCTAAAAGAATTATCAACTTGTTGCGTAATGATTGCGTATATTTCCCCCTTATATCACATATATTCCAGATTGAAAACACATCGGGACTTACATTTTTATATAGTATGGGTAAACACATTTAAATGTATCTTGTGTACCCTTGAGACGACTAACGGGATCGGATGGTCAGGCTCGCTGACTTGGCTGATGCATGTCATCGTATCCCGATTGCGTGGATCGATGCTCATGATGTCAATCACTGGAATGTGTGGTCCAGACTCGATTATATACAGACCGAGGCATATAGCTGGAATATTGCTGAATGCGGCGTTAAACAACAACACCAACAACAAAAAATAATATCAGACTAAGCATAAAGCGCAACAGGGATGCTTGTGTTTAAACCAAATTTAATACGTATATTTAATGGTTTTTTATATACTTTCAAGTGCATTGTTTTCATAGGCAATCAGGAGACGGCTGTGTCTCATAGACCACCAGGCCGGGTATTGTATGTTTATCAAGTGTCTGCTTGGTATGCTTGATGTATGCTTGTCATGCAATATGTGACACTAAATAAGACAGTCTTCTTCTACTTTCCCTTCCTTTAACGGGCCATACGCGCGGCGTTTGTGCGTTTTGAACACGGTGTATATATGATTGTTTATCCTGATTTCTAAAGGTGTATTCACCTGTGAATATCTTAGAATAGGTCTTCAGCAAACACATGCTTGTCGAACGAGGCGACTGACGGGACGTCCAAGAGACCGGAAACGGGGATGACAAACCGTTCACAGGGCCAATCGTGGCAACCAACGATAATAAAATGGACGACTAAGGGACATAACTCTGCGCGGCGCTTTAGGCGACTGGGCCATCCGTGTCTTGTTGAATACTCCATCGCATAACTCTCAGTCTGTGTGGTATGTCTCCCTTCTATCAGGGTAAACGCTAGAACCCATATGCTGCAACAGCTTCGGTTGGGAAGTGACGTCACCATCTCTTACCAGGAACCTAACTTCAAACAGAATTTCATATGCACATGTAATGTAATGCATGCTTGCCGGAATAGGCGACTAACGGGATCGGGTGGTCAGGCTCGCTGACTTGGTTGATGCATGTCATCGTATCCCATTTGCGTAGGTCGATGCTCATGATGTCAACCACTGCATTGTCTGGTCCAGACTCGATTATTTACAGACCGCCGTCATAAAGTTGGCTGAGTGCGGCGTTAAACAACAAAAATACAAACAAACAAAGGTGTATACTTTACAAAACCGATCTTATCTCAGTTCATACAAGTCATAGAATCTCTGAATAAAAATCAATATAGACGTAGAACAGCCCCAATCAGAAATTAGTGACTATGAATACCACGATGTGAGAAACAAATATTCCGCCGTGCTGAGCGTTTGGCTTCATTCGTCACCACTCGCCTCTTTCCGTAATCTGCACCTTGTACCGGAATAACACGAGTGTTTAAGAGATAAGAATTTACCTATCTTCCGAGGTTTGTTGTGTCAGCCGAGAACAGCAACAAAATTATAGCTGTGGCGTTAATCAGTGCTGGCTTTCTCCAATACTAACGAAATATGATGGTTGTATTTATTTAAATTATTTTCTACAAAAACACAACACAACATGGAACCTGTTTTAAACAATTTATTTTGTATAAAATTATATATCACACATAATCTGACAACAGTCATATCTCCATATATATAATCTGTTATATTACAATATGATATCAAACAATTCTATATCTTTCTATATATCATACAAATACACATAAACAACATCGCCGTTTTTAACAGCTAACATAACAAGATATTGCCACCGATGCTACATGATTGCATTCTTCGACAGTTTCTTATTGAAATGTAATAAGAAGCTATTTAGAAATTTGCTTACGGAACTATGTTCATATTAAGTAAGTTTTCGTGGTTGTTACATTGTTGGCAAAATGAAATGTTCCCCCCATTTAAACAGATGTATATTCCTGTACATTAATTTACCTAGATTAATGTAGACCTGCAAAATTTGCCATGGAACTCCCCAAACACCGAAAACATGTTGAGTAGCACTCAAGAGGAGATATTGGTTTAACGTCGCTTTGAATAATATACTACTTAAATTTGGATAGGGATAGATATTTATAATTATACACACACTTGGCATATTATGACAACCAGTTTTGTGTATCGTGGAGATATTAAAATATCCCTATGTAATGTGGAGAGGTATATTTCAGTTCTGTATGGAGTTTCAGGTTATGGGTGAAGAAAAACGTGGTACTAGTATACCTTTAGCACTTAGATGAAACATATGCTGACTTGCAAGGATCATAATCGGTGCAAATCTAGGACTCGAACCCAGGCCCAGCGGATTTTGCAGCCGGGGGACGCAAAAGCGAATATCAACAAATAACAATTTGTAATAGAAGTTGAAATCCACATTATTTAGTTTTTTCCACAGCACATAACAGAACCACGGAGAATCGTGAGTGGAATCGTCTTGTACAAGCCTTTAAATTCTTGACACAATACATAACATACACTTGCTTCCTCTTGCAACTTGTCCAGGGAATATAGTTTTCTTTGAGCAAACTACAGACTTAAGACAAACACTATAGGTAAGAAGAAACTAATTACACAAACATGAAGATATTGTTTATGGCCAGTTTAAAAGTATACATGCATCGCAAGATAAAAGGAAATGACTATTTGCAGGCGTTAATTTCGTCATATTTATAACAAATTCATATCATTTGATTAGTGACATAATGACTAAACATATTGTCAATATAGTTTCCAATGAATAATACATCTTTCCTCTGCTGACAACAGGGGCGTTCGAGGGTAACTCGAGGACTCCTATTTACAAATGGTTCTGGTACTCGACTCTGGGTGGACATGGCAGGTCAGATTAACTATGGTTATGTGAATGAATCGGGCGGCCCTTAACATTGTTTGAGCAGTATAGATGCTGCTGAGCGTAATTAAACATGGAAAACAACTAAATCTATGAAGATATATTAATACTTTTAATGGACAGTTTTCTGCACATGTTTATAACGACAGGAGCGTGACAATTAACACCGCTATGGGTAGGAAATATCTAAAGTACATGAAGCAATGATGCCTCGGATGTATACAATTCTTAGTCCCTGCGTTTCTTGAAATGGCCGATTTCAGTCGTTACGTTTAGTCATGACCACGATGATATATATAACATGGGTGTCGAATTCAATCCAGTTTTGTGAAAGTGAGTTTACAGTCCATCCCAGTAAAGACATTTGATATGTAAATATGCTTCTATATAAGTAGAACGGAGCCCTTGTGGTGTATATTGTCTATAGGTTGAGTAGAACGTTGTAGTCACGTGGTGTTGTCCTCAAACACGTCAACACAATACAGCGCTGAAGGTCACGTGACCTTGACAGGCACACATTGCACGTGGTATTGGCATAGGGTGGAAAATGTAATCAGGGTGGAGAGTGTGTCACGTGATATTCTCTCATGTCAAACATCCCTCTCATAGTTTATGACATCGACGTCTTAATTAATATTCTGTCCAACCGTCAGATGTCAGCCTATTGCCATGTCCAGACAAATAACGAAGGCATATAACAAGGCACTTTATCCATAGTACAGACACATCCATCACTTAACACTGTACACAAATACTTTTGATTGTTTTGGCTAAGACGCGTACGATGCGACGGCGACGCGTTAGGTACTGTGTTTCATCATCGGACACTGGAACAATGTAGCCCGACCGTGACATCAAAGCTTGGTCGAGGGTGGCGGAGGGGGTGGCGGAGGAGGGGGTGGGGGTGGGGCCGGCACTGAGTCAAATGGCGAATTAACGCCACTAAACTCTGGAGACTCGGGGCCCTCCTGATCCCGAGGGATAATCTCTGGTGGCGACATGGTGAACTGCACTGCACGACGCCCGGAGCTGTCAACTGAAACGTCATCCGGGAAAAAATCAGCTGGTAGTGGCGAAGCAGGGGGTGGAGGGGAGGGTTCATCCCCGCTTTGTTGTCGTCGCTTCATCAGTTCTTCTATCAGAGCATTCTTAATAGGAGAGTCACTGCTACCAATAATCTTCTGTCTCATGGATCCTCTCTGTGACGTCTCAGTCCCCTCGTCTACGACGTCTTCTTTCGCACGGCGCAGCATCCCAGGTGGGGGAGTGGGCGAGCGGAATTTTAACCGGTTGTACGTTGGGTCATCTTCCGGCGAAGAGGATCGGTTCATGTCGGGTGGGGTCGGGATTCTCCGTGTGTAGGAGTAATCAGCTTCGCCAGCTTCCGGTTCCGGTTCCGGTTCCGGATCAATGTCAGGTTCGCCGTCATAAGGCGGGGTGGGAGGGCGTCGAGGTTGTCGAGCTGGGTAGATATCCGTTGGTTCTGATCTTAAAGCATCTTTCTCGACGTTCATGAAACTGAAGGCAGAGGTGACAACCTGCTCCTCGTGCTCAAAGGGAATGTTGTAGTCCTCGCGGGGTGTCACGATGGGACGCTGAAAGTCTGATGTTGAATCAAAAAGATAATCAGCCCGTGGCGTCGCCTCCTTGAACGCCGAGGATGCATTGCTGCTCCCGAACATCGTCGGCTCCTCCCGTTCCTCTTGTTTATAAAAGGAGTAGCTCATTGGCTGGGGCGAGGGGTCACGTCGAGGTTCCGGTACAGGGTCAGGAAATGGTTCCGGGTCAGGGATGTAATGCATCGCCGATCCGTTCGACAACCGCTCGGGCTCTGGTGGTGGGTCATGGTTAAAGTGCATTGCCGATCCGTTTGACAATCGAGGGGGTTCTGGTTCAGGGTCAGGGTCCCGGATGTGAGAGATCCTTGATACGTGAAGGTCAAGGCCGGTTGTAATGGGAGCGGAAAGCGTCCTGGATACGGAGAGATTCGGATGGCTGTTCGCCGGGGCCAGAATGATATCGCCTTCCTTCGCCGTGATTGTCGCGGATTCGTGACTGCGCCGAGAGCTGCGTTTGTCATCAGATTTTGATTTTCTCAAATTTTCAATTCTGTCACGTGACTTAGACCTCGACCTTGACTTTTTATCTCGAGATTTAGCCCTATGCCTGTCACGTGTTTTAGTGCGCCCTCTGTTGGATTCATAAACTCTTCCATTTGGGCGTTCGTTATCCGAGGATCCAAAGTCCATCTGAAATGACGAAATATAGAAACATAAATTATTCGAATTCTAATAACACACATTTAAAATGATATCCACAACGGAATAACAAAATCAGTGAATCAGTCTCATTTCTCGCTGCCTAAATTTACATTGCTTTCTTCCTTGTACAAACATTTACACCATTATATCGGGTAGTATGTCGGATGAAACAGTTCAGTGTATAAATGATAGTAGCAACTTCTTAGAACACTTTAACGTACCCTTTCCTCTGCAGTTTCAACGTCCCTGAAAAGAGAAATAGAATATCATATTAATCTTTGTGCCTGACATCCACGATACTCATATAGGCTGGGGGGGGCACGGGTGGCCCAGTCGTCTAAGGCGCTGCGATTCGCTGTGCAGAGTTGCGTCCCTTGGGCAAACCTATGATTGTGGGTTCGAATCCCGGTTCGCCCCGATTATGTTTCTAGGTTTGTCAGCACCATACCCATGCTCGTGGGTTTCACCGAAGTGGTAAACGTCTGGGACCTGCATCACTTCGGGCTTTCCTCCCACATTAAGCTGACACGCCGTGATATAACTGGAATACTGTTAAAAGCGGCGTTAAACCAAACTCACTCACTCACTCACTCACTCACATATAGGCTGGGTTTTACGCAGGAATCGTAGTAGCACTGGCTATTTCCAAATTTACTTCGAACTAATATATTGCTTAAAGGGGAAGTGTACACGCAAAAATCACTTTCTCTTTTTTCTAAACAAAACGCAATTTTAGAATTAGTTAGTATCTGTGTTTGAAAATATACGCTCATTTTTTTTCACAGTGAAAGTAGGAAGCTCACAATAGTGTTAAAATGAAATGTCGTTATGAGGCCTTCGTTTTACGAGCGAAATAGGCCTGAGTTATCCCCCTTAGATTATGATGTAATTGGTGCCAATTCAAATGGGTCCCTGTCTAAAAGATATCAAGTACCAGTTTGCGGTAAAACAACATGGTCTACGACACACTCCGGCGCAGTGGTGACTCGGCATAACACAATTCTGGCTGGCATCTGAGACGCTAGAATCACAAAACTGTACCTACACCACGTGAAGCGGCTCTAACAAAGCATGATGACGTCAAAATGTTTATCAATTGGCACCAATGACGTCATATTGCAAGGGGCATAAGCCATGGTGTTTTTGTTATGGAAATAGAACACTTGGTAAATGTGAAAAATATAAATCGTTTTAATGCAAAAAATATGTTAATTAAATATGATGTTTTTATTTTTTTGTCTATGACACTTCTATGTTAACACTTTTAATGTGGAAAAAGAACAAGAAAAATTGGTTCATTTCCGTGTGAACTTGCCCTTTAAAACATCAGACGGATGATGGTCACCTTTGAGTTTAACAGGCTTAAGTGTGAAAATAACCACATATACTTATTAATACATATTTGTTACAATAGTATTAAAAAATGTGTTGATAAAAAAATTCAACAGTCTAATGTTTAGATCTGTCCTGTTTTATCGATGTAAGTTATTGTTTGTCACAAGTGTATTTTTGCAGAGAAAACGTGTAAAGCTTTCAAACTTAGCATTTCAAACTAGCATCACAGGCGGATTTACAGGGGCGGTAACTCTGTAATGTCTGTCCTCACCTGACGAGATGGCCGCTCGGCGCTCCATTCGCTGCAATATATAATGTTGATGAAATTAGTCTCAGGAATAATGTTAAAGGAATGTGAAAAAAGACAAAGTTGTAAAAATATATGTATATGAGAATGGCAATAATACACACAATCCTTCAATTTGGTGAAGGTATTTGCCGAAGGCAATAAACCTACTGGTGACAATACAGCTGCGCTTGGCATGACACGATCACAATGGGGTATTTTATTGCTCCGAGTTAATGGTTATATATATGTTTCGACAATAAACGCTTCGTTATGGACCTCTTCCCACCGATTGATCTTCCCTTTTTTCACGAATGTGGACTTAGAAAAAGCTACGGTAGACTTCTGGATTTCAACTTCTTTCAATGCGACGTTTCGTTACAGTTGCTTCTTCTTTTATTAATCAAATACTAGCATCTGCATCGGCACGTCAAATTGAAGGAATAACGAAATACATACATACGTCCACCCTGCCTTCACTACACCTTCTAAACACCACACATCACGTCCACCCTGTCTTCACTACACCTTCTAAACACCACACATCACGTCCACCCTGCCTTCACTACACCTTCTGAACACCACACATCACGTCCACCCTGCCTTCACTACACCTTCTAAACACCACACATCACGTCCACCCTGCCTTCACTACACCTTCTAAACACCACACATCACGTCCACCCTGCCTTCACTACACCTTCTCAACACCACACATCACGTCCACCCTGCCTTCACTACACCTTCTAAACACCACACATCACATCCACCCTGCCTTCACTACACCTACTAAACACCACACACCACGTCCACCCTGCCTTCACTACACCTTCTAAACACCACACATCACATCCACCCTGCCTTCACTACACCTTCTAAACACCACACATCACGTCCACCCTGCCTTCACTACACCTTCTAAACACCACACATCACATCGACCCTGCCTTCACTACACCTTCTAAACACCACACATCACGTCCACCCTGTCTTCACTACACTTTCTTAACACCACACATCACGTCCACCCTGTCTTCACTACACCTTCTAAACACCACACATCACGTCCACCCTGCCTTCACTACACCTTCTAAACACCACACATCACGTCCACCCTGCCTTCACTACACCTTCTAAACACCACACATCACGTCCACCCTGCCTACACTACACCTTCTAAACACCACACATCACATCCACCCTGCCTTCACTACACTTTCTAAACCTCACACATGACGGACTGAGTCGTCAGCTTCCGTGGGAGACGAAATAATGTATTTTCACAAAATAAGTTTTCGAAGCACCCAAATTCTAATTTGAGCACACTCAATTCTAACTGTTCTTGTGTAGGCTGGCTATGACTTGACACGTCACTGAAAAAGTGAATCTCTAGTCCTAATACTGTCACTGTCACTGACACTTTTCATTACCGTATTAAATATACCAATATGTTCACAGTATGGGATATACACCAACGGTTCAGTATAAGCAGATGTCGAATGAAATATTGAAAATAAAACAAGTTAAAACTTCAAATAACTGACCAACATATATCCAGAGCCCGTGCGAGTTAATACGAAAACGTGTGGGTGAGTATGTGTATGTTGTTTTACGGCGCAGTCGAAATAGTCCATCTAGAACACCACGGTGTGTAAATACTCTGAACTGGGGCCATCAATGGTTGGTTTGTTTGTTTGTTGTTTAACGCCGCACTCAGCAATATTCCAGCTACATGACGGCGGTCTGTAAATAATCGAGTCTGGACCAGACAATCCAGTGATTAATATCATGAGCATCGATCCACGCAATTGTATAAACCAAGTCAGCGAGCCTGACCACCCGATCCCGTTAGTCGCCTTTTACGACAAGCATAGTCACCTTTTACGGCAAGCATGGATTGCTGAAGACCTATTCTACCCCGGAATCTTCACGGGTCGGTCTCCAATGGTCCATAGCACGAGCATAATACACTACGTCATATAACCACCCAATGCTTATTCTGACCAGTTCCTACGACTAGTATAGGCTGCTGCGGACATTATCTACCCAGGAATACCATTGGGGTACATGATGATAAACGAACTATAGGGCAAAAGAAAACTGGATTGGGCCAAAGGTTACAAACTTCATCAAATCGTTAAGACTGAACCGAAACAGTGCAAACTTAAGGCCCACAACACAAGTATCAAATAGATCACCATCGAATAACCTTTTCTTGTTTCAAGTCTTTGAATGGAATTTAGAAGTGATACACATAAGGAAGTGAAGTTATGGATGAATACTTCTTTATTATGAGTGAGTGAGTGAGTGAGTGAGTATGGTTTTACGCCGCTTTTAGCAATATTCCAGCAATATCACGGCGGGGGACACCAGAAATGGGCTTCACACATTGTACCCATGTCGGGAATCGAACCCGGGTCTTCGGCGTGACGAGCAACGCTTTAACCACTAGGCTACCCGACCGCCCCTCTTTATTATGAGGAACACAATGCTTCGGAGTATATTCTTATTCCTGATGAATGATGAAGGAGTAAGTTCATGTATATGTTCAGAAACTGTTGTGTTCCTCATAATAAAGAAGTTGACATCCATATATTCTCTTACTTATTTCTTGTTTGTTTCGTTTTTAGCCACCATCAAACTTGGGAGTATACTTCTTTTGTCCGGCAGTATACATGTAGTTAGTTATGCTAAATCTGACGTGAACACATATATTACAAGGCTTATTCCCTTGAAGATCCGGAGTAGAATAGGTCATTCAGCAACCCATGCTTGCCGTAAAAGGCGTCTATGCTTGTCGTAATAGGCGACTAACGGGATCGGGTGGTCAGGTTCGCTGACTTGGTTGATGCATGTATCCCAATTACGTGGATTGATGCTCATGATGTCATTCACTGGATTGTGTGGTCCAGATTTAATTATTTACAGACCGCCGTCATATATCTGTAATATTGCGGCGTTAAACAACAAACAAACAAACAAAACAAGGCGTACGTGTAAGTTGGACACACTGAAACATATATCTCACCGACTCGTTCACGATCGCGAATTGTAGATTGGGACGACCCATGAACTTTTCTTCTGGCCTGTTCATCATCTAGGTAGACGACCGCCCCACTGTAGCCTATCGTCGGCCGGAAGCTGGGATAGCGCACCCCATGCTGGCCACCTCTCACGGTGAAGAAGTTAAGTGGCGGTCTCGCCCGTGGGTGTACAGCATGTGTGGTGTAGGAGGGGCGGGGGTGATATCTCTGGGTGGTCAGCGGGATCTCCGGCTGAATGGGCTCCTTTACATAATCCGAAGATGTACTCCTGTAAAACCGTAATGTCATGACGTCACAGACTTGTACAATGAAAACTAGAGAGTTAACATGTATTCTTTATATACATCCCGTTATGGAGGTCATGAGAGATCTCAGAACAAATTCTGTCACTGAGTACAAGCTCTTCTATGTTCCTAATCTGTGTATCATCGATATGGTCTTGTCTTTCAAATATACCCCTAATGTGCGAGTACATTCCTTTGTGACCCGTGAAGATCCGGGGTAGAATAGGTCGTAAGAGGCGACTCACGGGATCGGGTGGTCAGGCTCACTGACTTGGTTGATGCATGTCATCGTATCCCAATTGCGTGGATTGATGCTCATGATGTCAATCACTGGAATGTGTGGTCCAGACTCGATTATTTACAGACCGCCGTCATATAGCTGGAATATTGCTAAGTGCGGCGTTAAACAACAAAAAACAAACCAACAAAACATTGCTTATAGAACCTGGAAAACCCCACCCCGGATCAGCCCATCTCCAGGAACAATCCATCATAGACCACCTCAAACAACCATCCCAATAAATACCCCATCCCCCATTCCTAGGAACTATCAAACCACAGGAACATGCACCATTAGGGACAGCCACCCCATCGAAACACACTATTTCCCAGGAAAAATACCATCCCCCCCATCCCAAGAAACTTTTCAGCCAAAGGAATAGCCACTATTAGGAACACCCACCCTCAGAAATACCCCATCCCCGCAAAACATCCAATTTCCAAGAAACGCCCAATCCCACATAAACACCCAATCCCCCATAAACACCCCATCTCCCAGAAACACCCAATCCCAGCGAAACACCCAATTTCCAAAAAACACCCAATCCCTCAGAAACAACATCCCATGCCCAATAAACAGTTCGGCCCCAGCAACTCCAACCCTTAGGAATATCCCTCCACCAGAAATACCCCCCCCCCCCCCCCCCCCGAACACCCCATCCATCCCCAGAAACACCCCTTCCACCCCCAGGAACACCCGATCTTCAGCATCCCCCTTCAGACACCCACCTGTTGTAGAACCAGTAGATTAAGAGTGCCACGAGACAGATAGCCAGTACTCCTGCTATACATGATGCAGCAATGAGCCCTCCTAGTGTGTCGTTCGCCATTGTGCTGAAACAAGAAGATTCTATTAGAGGAATTGTCAAAACGTAATCACCAATTAAACTAAAACAACACGTGTGTGTCACTGGGTATTTATGATCGTAAACTAGTCACGTTACTAAGTTTCAATTTTTACGATAATTAATATATCGAAAATACATGGTACATCGCCTCCGTGGTCTAGTGGATAGTGCGTTTGCCAAGAGAGAGGAAGCTCGTTGGTTCGATCCCCGGCCGCGTCATATCACAAGACGCTAAAAGATAATTTGTGTTACCCTGGCAGACGCCAGGCATTACCGGAATAAAACAAGGACTGGTCGCCTCGGAGTCAATACACTGTGTCTGAGTGGGGTATTCATGTTAACCTGCGACATGGTATCTCAGTGGGCTAATGCTATAAAATCGGCATTAGTCCGGACTAGTACAAGATATCACACACACACACACACACACACACACACACACACACACACACACACACACACACACACACACACACACACACACACACACACACACACACGCAGTGTCACATCAATATTCGCAATGACTTATTCTATACAACACATGTCTAAGAAGATAAAACCAAATGTAGCTCTTAAAATATTACGCTTTAGGAGCGGAATTGTCACGGCTGTGGTACATATCTCTTTCTGGCTCGTCCTCTTAGCACCTCCAGACACATGCTCCCAATACCACGCAATCCGAGGGGGTCACGTGACATAGACAGGAAGTTAGACTACATATGAATTTTTAATGGCTGTGTGTTTAAATATAGACTAATAAATCAATAGAAACCACAGACAGCTGACAGAGAGTACATGCTGGACACCTGCTCTTGGCGTCATTTATCAACAATGTGTAGAAAAATTCAAAATTTATTCTCTAAAACGAATATACCCAAACCTTTTGAACGTAGCTGCAACATTATTTAATGAGATTGAGCTTTATCCGCTTTTTACGGTGGCCCATAAGGGACATGGAGTCTGTTTTTCAATATTTTGATGTTTCACTTACTTTTATCGTAACCTTTTGCAAATTGACACAATTTGTCATACAAAAGCTGTAGCTTTTAGTGGTTTGCTATCCGTTCATGACAGGTGGCGCCAAGAATTAGCGTTACACAGGGTATAATCGGAAACGAACTCATGACTTCGACGTGACGGGCAAACGCACCACCTACTAGGCTACCCCGGTCCAATGTTTCATTGATGGAAACACATTTATAACAAACGCAGATATTTCCGTATTTTCAAAACAGATGTTTCTGTCCAAACAATGTTGCAGTTAGGACTGATGCTGGCGTACAGGGAGTACCACGACGGCAATACCGCTGACGACGTTGTCACTAGAATCATTGACAGGATCATTGGATCTTGTTAGGAACATTAGTTTGGTGTAACCTTTCTACCCTTGAAATTGTCATGGTAATGAATATATGGAACACACGTGGTCTGTTGCCGAGGTCGTGACTTGAGAAATGAGAAATACCAATCGTGGCCTGGCGAATTTGTAAAGCTTGTATTCATGGCTGAAATCCGCTAGAGGGCGTTCGTGCAAACCCTATTACTGACACTTTTATTGGTAAACAAAGGGCACTTTGTTGGAATATTGGATTGATCTGCTATTGCAATTTGTGATGTTGGCAGGCTACCGGCTTTAGTTATTATGTCGTACAAGACATCTACAGAACAGTGTAAGCTTTACGGAAGTCGTAACTCACATACGTGGCCCTTTTCCCAAAGTGATAGTAGCTCTACGACAGTCGTATCTCACATACGTGGCCTATTCCATAAAGTGATCGCAGCTCTACGACAGTCGTATCTCACATACGTGGCCTATTCCATAAAGTGATCGCAGCTCTACGACAGTCGTATCTCACATACGTGGCCTATTCCATAAAGTGATCGTAGCTCTACGATAGTCTTAATAGGCGACTAACGGGATCGGGAGGTCAGGCTCGCTGACTTGGTTGATGCATGTCATCGTATCCAAAATACGTGGATCGATGCTCATTATGTCAATCACTGGATCGTCTGAGAGCAGCGTTAAACAACAAACAAACATAAACCTGTCACCACCAGGTGATAATGTCTGCCACTGGCTACAGACATTGTATGACGCACCACCTGTTTTTTAAACATACATTTGTATTTTGAAGTGGTACGTTTCGTGCTTTGAATGTCCTTTGCACAGATGCGATTTCAACTCATCTTAATCAGGATATTTGCTTCACAGACAAGCCAGAGAGTGAATAGGTAGATATACATATAATGATGAAAAATTAAAATGATAATAATAAAATCATTTAATGTATTAGTTAACAAAAGGAAAGTTTAGTTCCTCCATCTCTGCACAGCAGGCGTAGGAGGTAATTTACGTCGCTCTAGAGCTTCCATGGTTATATAGCATGTCAAATTCCCATTTGAGTTTAAGAAAGCCTGATTTAAGACTCTCAGTGCACATGAATCACATTTTATTAAAAATTCCCGACCTGAGTGCATTCGAAGCATAAAGTCCTTATGTTTTGAATGTAAATAAGGAAAGGTTGACCTTGCAGTGCAGACATGTGTCAGAAACATTCTGTGTGACCAGTGTATTTGAGGACATAATGCGTGTCACTTGGCAGCCTGCCATTCCATGCTCCCCCCCCCCCCTACACTACACACAGATGCCTATCATGACATGGTGTTGGTGGGCCTCCGTGGGAATTCATGAACACGTTATAAGGGTTAACAGGTGCACAGTGGGTGGCAGAATTATTACAATTGAGTAAGACTGTTTGTTTCCCTTTCATTTGTCAAAAAAAAAAGGTTTGAATATGATACCATGAAACACCCATAAAACAGATGGTTTTAGAAAGGAAGGACCAAGACATTAATTTCCACTCTCGGCCATAGCAAAGATTGACATGGTGATTATATTGTCTAACATTACATGTTTATGACAAGTATTCAGTGTAGTTCATGATCATATGATATGTTCAATGTTCTAACCATACACATCCTGAGAAATGCGATCTCACTGTAATTTATTTATTTATTTATTTATTTATTCTTTATTTATTTATTTATTTATTTATTTATTTATTCAGTGCAGGGTGTACATAGCATTGTGTTCATAGTCATCGTATCATAAGAGGCATGTGTGATTTATTTCCTGTGGGTATCTGCAATATTACCCTACGCAGTATTTACTCAATCACTAACCCTTTGAACAGTCGGTTTAGTAGCTCAGTGGTGGAAGCCTTCAGTCGTGACGCGGAAGATCGGGGTTCGGTTCCTCACACGTGTACAAGCTTTGGGGCTTGGTATCAGCGGCGTAAAACTATGCTCACTCACTTACTTACATGCACGTCTTCGAAAAATGTTGAGACTTGACATGTGATTAGATTGCCAGATAACAGAAGCAATTTGCCTGCAAGGTCGCCATCCTGCTGTGACATCAACACAGGTATACAATCATCCTCTCCGCTGGTCCTGACAACCGCATTGTTATGATGATTGAGGGTAGGTTTTCTGTCTCTCTTAAGGCTACCCTAAGGCTATGGATATAACGGATCTGCGTGCCTTACCTATCTACCTGTGTAACTTACCTGTCTATCTGGGTAAGTTACTTATCTACCTGTGTAACTTACTTATCCACCTGTGTAACTTACCTATCTACCTGTGTAACTGCATATCTACCTGTGTGACTTATCAATCTACCTGTGTAACTTACTTATCCACCTGTGTAACTTACCTATCTACCTGTGTAACTGCATATCTACCTGTGTGACTTATCAATCTACCTGTGTAACTTACTTATCTACCTGTGTAACTTACCTATCTATCTGTGAAACTTCCCTGTCTACCTGTGTAACTTACTTGTCTACCTGTGTAACTTACTTATTTAACTGTGTAACATACCTATCTACCTGTGTAACTGTATATCTACCTTTGTGACTTATCTATCTAGATGTGTAACTTACCTATCTACCTGTGTGAATTACTTGTCTATACCTGTGTGTCTTACATTATCTACCTGTGTGACTTACCTATCTACATGTGTGACTTACTTGTCTGCCTGTGTGACGTACCGATCTGGATGTGTGTCTTAATTATCTACCTGTGGGACTTATTTATATACCACTGTGACTTATTTATCTACCTGTGTGACATATGTATCTACCTGTGTGACATATTTATCTACCTGTGTGAGTGGTTGCTAAGGCATAAACATACAATCTGTGGCGACTTCAGCGTTCCGAGTGCAGACTATGCCTGTCCAAATATGTCACAGACATGCCGTAGTCATCAGCATCAATAAAAACAGCCCGAACAAGATGTAGCCAAGTTTGGAATAGAAACAGTCCAGCAGCCCGACCCCACCCTCCATCCCCACATACACCCACCACACATTTAACTACACCCCCACAGAGTCAGTGAGGCGGTTCTGGGATGTCGCTTCAATATCCACGACACGCCCCAGTTTTGTCCCGTAGAAACATCCACCACCCGCCACTAGAAGTTTGAAATGGGCTATAGGTGAGGTCCACGTTGATAAGACCGTGTTGCCCTGAAGGCGTGACGCTGCCCAACACAAGACACAAGGGTCGCGTGGACAGTACACACTCACCCAACCAATATACACCTTATCATGTCAATGTCAATACACCCAGTCCCAGTACCCCGGGTGGGTGGACGTGGGAACTACAAGTACCCGAGCAGGTCAACAGTCTACAATCAGCCCAAGTCACGCTTCAGACGTAAATAGACATGTCTACCTGCCACGCCCCTCATCTCCCACCCGTATCCTGTAATAAAATAATCCAGGTTCAATTCAAATGACATCTACAATAATACACCTGTGTTTATCTTCTCGTCATGGCCAATTTCAAAATCCTAATTGCATGACATCAGCCAATATTACCACATGTGACCCATTATGCACACCCGACACTACTCAGCACACCCGTAACCAGGGGTACGGGCGTGTCTTATCAGTGACAAGCTTTCAAAGAGCTGTAC